GTCGCGGCAGCCAGGGCCGCGCGCAAACTTTCCGGGCCGGCGGGCGCGGTTGCGGGGCCCGAATGGGCACCCGGGCTGGCGGCGGCGGCGCCCATGGACGCTAACCGCCCGGGCGCGTTCGTGCTGAGCAGCGCGCCGTTGGCCGCGCTGCACAACATGGCCGAGATGAAAACGTCTCTGTTCCCGTACGCCCTGCAGGGCCCGGCCGGCTTCAAGGCGCCCGCGCTGGGCGGCCTGGGCGCTCAGCTGCCACTGGGGACCCCACACGGCATTAGCGACATCCTGGGGCGACCCGTGGGAGCGGCGGGCAGCGGCCTCCTGGGCGGCCTGCCCCGCCTCAATGGGCTGGCCTCCTCGGCCGGCGTCTACTTCGGGCCTGCGGCCGCAGTGGCTCGGGGCTACCCCAAGCCGCTGGCCGAGTTGCCCGGACGCCCGCCCATCTTCTGGCCCGGCGTGGTGCAGGGCTCGCCCTGGAGGGACCCGCGCCTGGGCGGCCCTGGTGAGTGCACGGCCCAGGCGCGGCGGGCAGCGGGCAGCGGGCGGGCGGGCGGGCGGACGGGCCGGCCTCATCGTCCTCCTTGCAGGCCAGGCCAGCGGCGTCCTGGACAAGGATGGCAAGAAGAAGCACTCCCGGCCGACCTTCTCGGGCCAGCAGATCTTCGCGCTGGAAAAGACCTTCGAACAGACTAAGTATCTGGCGGGCCCGGAGCGCGCACGGCTCGCCTACTCGCTGGGCATGACCGAGAGCCAGGTCAAGGTGAGTGGCCGGCTGGGGACCTGGGGCCGGGCGGCTCCGCGCGGCCCGTGTCCTGCGAAGAGCAGCGAGCCACGGCCGCCGGCCCTGGAGGCCAGCCCCGGGAGCCTGCGGTGGGTCCCTCACGGCCAGGACCCCACGGTCCGCTTCATCCTCGCAGGTCTGGTTCCAGAACCGCCGGACCAAGTGGCGTAAGCGGCACGCGGCTGAGATGGCGTCGGCCAAAAAGAAGCAGGACTCGGACGCCGAGAAGCTGAAGGTGGGCAGCTCGGATGCGGAGGACGACGATGAGTACAACCGACCCCTGGATCCCAACTCAGACGATGAGAAGATCACGCGGCTGCTCAAGAAACACAAACCCTCGAACTTGGCGCTGGTCAGCCCGTGCGGCGGCGGCGCGGGGGACGCCTTGTGAGGCCGCGGGAGGCCGGAGCAACCAGGGTACGGGCGCGGGGCTTGTATATATATTTTTACAGAATAAGTTATGAAGCGACCGCTCAGGTTCGGCGTGTGGGACCCGGCCGGCCGCGCCCCTGCCCCACGGGTGGGCACAGGCGCGCGGGGTGCGAGCCGCCGTCTCGGGCGGAATCACTTTGTATAATCAATAAATTATTTAATTCGTCTGCATCGGGGCCGTGGCTCGGGAGCTGCGCTGCGTGTTTCTTCCGTACCGAACCGAGTGACGCTTCTGCTGGCGGCATCCCCGCCGCGTCCCCGATCTCCTCCCGTCGTGGCCCCGAGAGGTCCCGGGGGTCAGGCGCAGAGGAGCTCACGGCAGCCCCGGCCCGCACTAGCCATTTCCCGGCTCGGAGGCTGTGGACCCGGCCGCCTGGGAGGCGACAGCGCGCAGGCGACAGGGTTAGCGTCCGCCCGAAGTCCGGGCACCAGAGAAGCGCGAGAGAAGGGACGTACCCCTGTCGCATCCCGAAGCGAAGCAGTCGCCACGGCGACCGGACCGCAGAGGAGAAGCCGATGACTTGGGAACGCGGAGCAGAGCTGGGACCGAGGCGGACCTGGGCAACCGGCCTTGGATGAGTCGTCAGTCGTCCAGGTAGGGGGAGGGGGAGGATCACGGAGTGGGACACCCTCCCCTGAGCCGGCCAAAGTCGGAGGACATTTCCGGGGCTCCTGAGGTGGGTTTCCTTGAGCAGTACACCTCAAGGGGGGTGATTCAAACCGGCTAACAGCTCATAGGGAGAGAGACAGGGCTGGCGGCTTCGGTGAAGATGGACAGCCATGGACACTCTACAGGGCTGTTATTGGCGCTGTAACTACAGGTCAGCAGTTCAAAGCCTCCAGCAGCTTCTCAGAAACCCTATACAGGGTCACTGAGTGGAGCCAACTCCACAGACTTCAGGGATGTGAGGGAGGTTAAACTGCAGACGCCTCTTGCTTGGGGTGCCTTTCGCAGCTTCCCAAGTCAGGTCTGGCTCTGCTGCCCCAGCTTGTACCTGCTGAGTGGGAAGGCTTGAGGAAGCTGACAACTCCTAGTGTGATTTTGGGGGCAGTCAGCTCTGAAATGTTTTCAAACCTCCTTCAACTACCATTTTCTTCTTTCCATTGGCCCAAAACTATTTTATTCAAGTCAACACGCTCCGTCATGTCCACACACGCACCTGGAGGAGCTTCCTCGAGGCCCAGGGCAGCTCTCTGCTTGGGAGAAGGCATACTGGGGTGGTGATGGACCAGGGTCCCTCGTCCCTCTGGGGTGAAGCAGTGTGTGGGTGGACAGTCCAGTTCCCAGGCCAGCTGGCAAGGCCCCTCTGATGGGAGCCAGCTCTAGGGACATGAAAATAATCTGTTCATCACCGCTTTAGCGGGCTCTTGATTCCGGTTAACAAAAACCCACCAATTCTATTCTCCCTAACAAAAACCCCCTTCTGCTCTGGGGGCTGGGGCAGTTAAGTGCATCTTAATTTGCACTGTGGGACTGTGACTCCACCTCCCCAAGTGGGAAGTTACTGTAGGATCAGGTTTCTCCTGAAAAGCACTATTGGAAATGTTAAAGGTCAGGGTAAGAGGCGGGAGGAGCTTTTAGTTGGTGTTCTGGCTTTTTCCCATGTGGCTGCACCACTAATTAAGAAGATGAGTTTGCTTTGGAGCCGCTGGCTGGGTTTCGTGAAAAGGCAGTGCTGATATTTCAGAGCGTGAACGGCTCAGCTCAGGTGCAGGGCAAAGGAACTGGCAGGTTAAAAGCACAAGGAAGCAGGATGTTTCTGTAAACCCACTAACCATGCCAAGGGGTAAACCCCACCAGTTAGAACTAGAGAAAAAACACAATGCTCTCTCTAGTCCTAGCTACCACTTCATGCACCCGTGACACTATGGAGTCCATGAAACCAGGTTTCCTGATATGTGTAAGTCCTTTCAGTGGCAGAAGGCCAAGGCAGGCTCCGGTGCGGAGGGAGAGAAGCCAGGCACACTCACAGACGTGTGTTCACCATGATCAATTTTATTGCTTAGGAGCTGGAGCCATCGATTCCACAGGCCTTCAGAACACCCGGGAGCTGAGTCCACGCACAGGGTTGAGACGGTGTCGGTCCCGCATGGCAGCAGTGACCACAGCACTTAACACAGATCCGACCCTATCGTCCGGAACACACACCCGGCAAGCGGACGTCACTCATTTGCAATGGTAGTGATTTGTATCAGACAAGCGCCGATCTAATGCCATCCCGTAGTCGGGGAACTCTGTAGTGTCCTCAATGAAATCAATAAAAATGCACATGTGTGTTTCACCGAAACAGTTATCACCTTCTAATGCCGTACGTGTGCAAGGAGACATTTGAACAAGGCCATACACAGGTTGTTCGAGCTGAGCAGACATTTACACTTTTGTTTCTCTTCGTAGTTTATATACAGCCCATGCTAAAAGCAGTTTCTACTGGAAGCAGACTAGGCTATTTTTATTTCTCCCATGATAATGTTGTTTTCATGTCGAATACTTGGCACCATAAAACAGTTAACAAAAGACAGACAAAACAGTTTACAAAATTCTTAAAAGGTACACCCAAGCCTAGCTATAAACTTCACATTCAGTTCTTAATGTTACAGAGAAAGGAGCAGGTCAGGGGTGTCGCAGAGACGGGGGTCCACGCTGGCACGGCTGGGTCGGAGGTCAGAGGACAGGTTTTGTACATGGGTATGCGGCAAGTACATCACCGGACTCCTCGACTCCAATTCTACCTGCTGATGGACAGCTGCCAGCACTCAGCCTGGAAAGGGACTTAACACACGTTTTGGTAAGATTTATAAATTATTTTAAAAAGTATATATATATATATATATATATATATTTACGTATAAAATGGAAAGCAGCCGCGTGACCTGGGGACCATGTGACATGGCAGTTGAGGAAATAGCGGGGTGGATGGTCAGCAGTGACCGCCACAGCCCTCACAGGCTGCACCCTACCCAGCTGACACCTGTGGATTTCTCCTTGAGACGCTTTTCCACACCGACGGTAATTAAAAATGGAAAACTGTAAAATCTAAAATACAGACTCTCCTTGCTGTCTATTAGAGTTTTGGCAACAGGACTGTGAGTTATTTAAAAACCCAATGTTTCTACATAATGTCACATGAACAGACAAGACAGTGAGGTATGTGAGGCTTTTCCGGAACATTCCGGAGGCTGAAGCGAAGTGTGGGGCCGGCGTCTAGCAGGTGACGCTTGGCGGGTCTGTTAAGAGTATGTGTTTCAGGATCCTGCTTCCCGGTCTCCTCCTCGCTACAGGGTGGTCTCTCGAAGGGGCCTCTCTCTGCGTTGGCATCTCCACCCTGCATGAGTGAAGGCAGTGTGTGAGGGGGCAAAGGCAGTGGGCAAAGCTGCAGAAAGGGGAACTAGAGGGAAGGAGTCATATTTACCACACGTCACTGCACGACACAACACTTGTGCACGGGCTCATGAGGTTTACCTGCCCCGGGCGCAATCCGGAAGGCCAGGAACACAGGCTGCGACAGGGAGGAGAGAGGCGTGAGCTCACCTGCCCACCCCCAGCCAGGGACCCACCTCTCCTAGGAGCTGCCTGTCCCTTATCCCCACGCACAGGGCATTTGGGGATGGGACATTGAAAGGAAGCACCCCTTTTGTTACTCTGTAAAAAGGGAGACTTTCTAGACCCAAGTTATGTGACAGTAAGGGGTGGTAGCCACTGGTGGGCATGAGTATGAAGCTGGATCCCGAGTGCCGGTGACCAGCTGGGGAAGCCATGGGGAATCTTACCGGCAAGTTCAGAAATAGCCTTAGAACCCTAAGCTGCCAACCAAATATCTCACGAATAGTAATATTATGGGTTGTATTCTAATGGGGGCACTCATTTCCTCTTCAGTATTTTATTAAAATCCATAAAACAGACCAATTGGGCCTACTTTGTAAATCAAATGACGTAGACTCAGAAAATGGAGACTACAGAAGCAACTGCCCACCAACCCACTGTCCCTGCCCTCTACCCCCCTCCCCCCCCGGGGGGCTGCTGGGGTGACACTCCCATCACCTTGTGGTCTCCCATGCAGACGTTGGGCCCGATGTGGTCGTAGGTGACAACCTTCTCCTCGCTCTCCGACTGGGAAAAACAAACAGGGGTGCTGGGAGGTGGGGGTGGGGGGGTGCCCTGCCTCCCGTGGAAGGTGCTGGTAACCCGTGTGAGGGGAGGGTGTTTGGCCCAGCTCTCCTGTCCCTGCCCTCGTGGCCCCAGTGAGTCCTCTCTGAGCTTTCTCCTGAAGCTGCCCATGTGTTTGACTCCTGCTGGCAGAGAGCAGAAGCAATCTGTACTTGATTAACAGGGGTCTCCTGTGTCTGCCTTGCAGACACCTGTATTTTGGGGAGGAGCTGAGGGTGCTACTCTGCCTGGTCCACTAGGTGACTTTAGGACGGAAATGGGCTTCAGTCAGATGACCGGCCAGCAAGCACGTGTGCAGGCTTCCCTGCTGTCCGAGTGAGTGCCTCCCATCCAGAGTCAGCGCCCGGAAGTGTGGGCACATTCATCAAACGCAGCGTGGTAATTTACAAAGGCAGCATAAAATTGCTGGTTTTCAGCTGCATAATCCTGAGACAGATAAACAAATTACAGCGTGCAAGCAGAGCGCACACCTCGCTGAGCATTCATCACGCGGTCGCCGGCTCCGCCCTGCGCCACTCGCAACCTTTGGCGTCTCCGGGCTGGAACACACACAGAGAACGTGATGGCGGGTGACTGAGCGTAGCATGATGGATGAGGTGGGGAGCTGGCTTCGGCAGCTCTTCCTCACACTGCTCAGGTTGGGTTTGTGCTTTGAGGCGCTGGTCCTGGGTCTTCAGAACCCGAGACTCTGGGCCCACAGGAAACTGCCTTCAGTGTGAACACGGGCCTGTTCTGTTGCAGCCACACAGCTCCTTAGTGAGTCTCCTGCAGGTCTGAATCCCCTCCCTCTCAGATGGCTGAAGGTGTGTGTGAGTCCCTGAGGGCCTCTGCTGCCTGGTCCTACTTTTAGCACTGAACCCATGGCTCAGCCTGAAGATGCCCATGTCCTCCAACAGTGCTCTGGGCTAGGGCGCTTCAATTCAGAGTTTGCCCTGAGAGTCAAGGTCAACATGGGACACGGGGGCCACTTCCTGTGCCTCCCCCACCCGGCTGGTTCAGGGACAAACCCAGGGAGGGCTTGTGGCCGTGTGTGGGGGTCACTCACCCTCAGAATCAGTTCCTTGGCAGACGCGGACATGAGGATGCGGTCGCACCAGGCGGGACAGCGGGTGTTCATGTACTGTTTGCCCTGGCTGGAGTCCTCACTGTATGGGTAGCTGGGGGAACACACTCAAGACGGTCAGTCAGGCTGCCCAGGCCCCGGTGCACACAGAGAAGCCCCCAGACCACAGTCTGTTTCCGCGTGGAGCTCAGCTCCAGCCTTTTCCATAGAACAGTGTGGACTATTGTACTTCCACAGCTGGCTGGGTTTGGGGACCGGCACTGGAGGGCACTCGGGACAGAGGACCGCTGGTGTCAGGGGGGTCCAAGTGCTGACAGTGGACAAGGGGAGCTCTGGGGGTGCTAGCGGCCTTCTCCAGAATGTTGCCCCAAGCCCCACACCTGGACAGATCCTTCTGAGACACAGAAGTATTTGCTGTGCCCCTTGCTCTGGGCAGCCCCAAATCTGCAGCAGGGACACACACAGATGAGATCTCCCAGCCCCTCCCTGCAGAGATCAGGCAGTCAGAGGACCCCCCCACCCCGCCCTGAAGCAGGGCTGCCCAGGATGTGCAGGAGATCAGTGGAGGGGGAAACGGGTCTCAGTGTGAAGCCGACATGTCCTAGAAGGGCCTCATGTGAGCCAGAGTAGTTCCAGGTGTGGGACCAATATGCAGCTAACACAGCTGCCCCCACTGGCCACAGGGAGGCTGGCAGGGGCAGGCAGGGGGCTGCACTGTTGTAGGCACCACACATCCAAAGAGGCAGTCTCTGCTCTGAGCCTGCTGGGGGTCCCAAGGTGGTCCAGGGTCTCGTCACCATTTCTGTTTTTGAACATCATCAAGAGCACATGTGCCCTCACACATATTCACATAGTGTGTCTGTGGACGGGTCAGGGGTCAGTGCAGAGGCTGGAGGTGGGGCCAACTCAGAACTGCCTCATCCAAGCTGGTCTGGGGCTGTGTGGAACGTCTGGGCTTCCATGGGGTCCGGGGCAGGTCCCCCAGCAGGGACCAGTGTTCCCACCAGGACAGGACCCCGGATCTCCCCTCCTAGGGGATGCTAAGGGCAGGTGTGCTGGTCATACCCCTCCTCCCGGCCAGGTGCTCAGACGCCGAGGAAGGCGCTGCCCGAAGGCGGAGTAACCCCGAGCCGGACACATGCCATGGGAACGTGATTAATGTGGCAACTTATCTAAAAGCAAACCCAGCGCGGGCGGCACCCCGGGAAGCCAGTCCTATCTGCCTGCTCAGCCCAGGCACAATCGCCGTAATTAATGACCATGCAGATAAACCCTAACAATCGCCCACCTGTGCTCGTGGGCACACGCCCCTTGTCTGAGCAATGACAGCCCAGGTGCAGGACTTGGGCAGTGGCTTGTCTGGTGGCAGTGTTGCCATGAGCCCCGCAGACAACACAAAGCTATGAGTCAGCTTGGGCTCTGCTGGGAGGGGTGGGGAGCCCAGAAAACTCCGGAACAAACACCATGGGATCCCCACTTCGCGAGCCACATAGACCCTTTCCAACAGAGACTTGTCTCAGATCAGCGCTCAAAGGGTCAGTACATGTTACACATCACTTTCCTCAAGTGTGTTCGGGCCTGGCCGCCTTTCTCTACCAGCTGGGCAAGAAGACCTATTCTGAGGATCAGAACGCTGCTCAGCAGTGGGAGGGTAGTGGCCCCAGAAGAGCCGGGAGCAAGGACAGCTGAGCCTGACATCACACTAAGTCGGTGTGACACCAGTGAGGGTGACACCGGCAGAGACCAGGCGCCATAAATGCTAGCTCCCAAGTCCTGCTTTCAAAAAACATCAAGTTCTGTTGAAGTTCCTGAAAAGCACAGAAAACCACACAGAGAGCTGAGAAGAAATGCGGTCAGGCATGCATTACTGAGATGCACTGGTGGGAACCAGCAGCCCACAGCCCTCTTGCCTTCCCTCAAAGTGTGTGGTCTGCGTCCAGTGCCTGCAAAGTCCTGGTCCACGGGTGTTACCGTTTGGAGGCCCCAGCATTGTCCCTGATGCTCCTGTGGGCTGGTCTGACAGATCCAGTGACAGCTCGGAGGCCAGTGATTCCTGTTTCTGAGCACTTGGATTTGGCTAAGACCAAAGTCCACATCCTTTTTGCACTAATTGCATAGTTATGTATATAATTACGCTACCGCTTCAAATCTCAGCCCAATAAAATTTTTATAAGACCTCCTGGTCCTTGATTTGAAAATAAAGGCATCCATTAAAAAGAAATCCCTCCTTTGGCTGGGCTTGTTTAATGCTGCATATCCCTACATTATAATTCTTTTGTTTTATTCAAAAGCTAAAACTTGATCTTTTTCTGTAATGAATTTGTCCAGTCAGAGTTCTCTCTCCCCCATGGAAAGTTCATCTGTTTCAGGCTTGATTCTCTGCACTAGACCTCCTCTGTCTGGTAGGTCAAACACCTTCCACTTTGAAGCACAGGAAGAGAACTTGGTAGTGTTCCGACTTCTTCGAGCATAAATTTATTTCATAGCCATGCATGACAGACATGAGGCAGAGTCACCCTCTGATACTCTCTGATGGGGAGACAGGGCCGTTCCCTGCAGGCTGCAGCGTAGAGTCCACGGCATCCACACTGGCTGTACGAGGCTGGGCCAGGACCACACTGCTTCAGGGGGCATCGCTGCTCATGTATGCACCGGGCGCCACCACACTGCACCCTCCTGACTGCCGGGTGTTCCCTTTTGGGATAAGAACCCATAACACCATTCCCAGGCAATCTGGTGTTCCAGTTCTCCAAGTGTGGACCCACAGGGGTCCTTCAAGGCACCTTCAGGAGGTCTGCCAGAAGACATTAATGTACGCTCACTGCCACCTGTACTGTGTTGGCATTTACATGATGGAGTCTCAGATGAAGCCCTCAGTTTTAGTTTGAGGTGGTAGTTATGGACACCACCAGGCTCACAGAGTACCGCATCTGCCTGAAAGAAAGTCAGATACACTGACTGTGGTTCCCTGGATGTCTGATGGGAAAATGAATCAGAGACTTCAGGAGCCAACAGTTACTACACTTAGTGCCAATGATAAAATCCAAGCGGTCAAGTAAACTCAGAATTCTGAAAACTTATAATATCGCAAGAGCTTGATGGTGTCACACAGCACTTTAGATTCTCAGATGGGATCAGTGTGTCCCGACAATCGTGACATCTGAGGGAAGGACGAGACGCAATGTCTGCAGTGTGGATGAGACTCCACCTCTGAGGTGAGGACGAGATATGACGTCTGATGTGAGGATGAAACGAGACGTCTGAGGTGAGGACGAGATACGATGTCTGCGGTGAAGACAGGATGTGACGTCTGAGGTGAGGATGAGGCACGATATATGAGGTGAGGACGAGATAGGATGCCTCAGGTGAGGACGAGACATGACGTCTGCGGTGAGGACAAGGTATCATGTCTGAAGAGAGGACGAGGCATGGTGTCTAAGGTGAGGACGAGATGTGACGTCTTAAGTGGGGATGAGACATGAGCACAAGACATGGCGTCTGCGGTGAGGACGAGACGTGATGTCGAGGTGAGGACAAGATGCGACATGTACCAATGAGGGACCAGTGGTTCCAAAGCATGTCAGAAAACATTTCTGCTTCACATGAGTGGAAAAAGCAGGCTACAAATGATATACTTATGTTTTTTCTCTTTAGTTCTAAGTGACGATGATTTTCAAAGTTAGACCATGGGTTAGAAATTGGCATTCAGCTAAGATGTTTACGGTGATGGCTTTGGTGATGACCTTCTGTTGTTCTGATCGTGGTTCTGGGTCACTGGGCTCTGCAGTTGGGTTCTGAATGGCCAGGTGGGAGCTGGGAGCTGGGAAGGAATCTGGTGTGGCTGCTGGGTCAGGGCCAGACCACCCTCTCCAGCACTGGGCACCCTGGATGTCCAAGCAAACAGAATGAGGATAAAGTATGGGGCAGACTCACTCTCTCCATTTTACTTCAAACACTGGACACTGGGATAAATTCTTCAACAATGTAAAGCTGCTGGCATCCACCAGAGAAACTCAAAGGGGGCTTCTGCCCGACACGTGAACTTCACTGTGTCTACACGAGAGCTGCCCACACTGAGAGAGCCACTCAGGACGAGCATACGGAGACCTACGGCGCTGAAGTCTTCTGTCTGCCTGCGTCTGCGACAGATAGATTGGGCTGTGTGGAGGGCAGTGAGACCCCCCACATGCAGGTGGGCAGCCCTGGTCCTTCTCGACAACCATCAGTCTTGGTTCCTTCTAGCCTGTGCTGGCAGCAGCCTGGCCTCTGACCACCACTCCACACTGCCTGTCCTTCATGACAGTGTCAATGTGGCCCATTAGGAGTGTAAAGGGAGGCCCCTGGCTTCATATGAGGAGGGGCCCTCTCCTCACAAGGCCATCTGTTGAAGGCCTCAGGTGTAACTGACCTGTGCCCACCCCCACACCAGCTCTGGGGTGCAGAGATGACTGTCCTACAGCCCCAGGGTGGAGAAGGCCCTGCCTGGGCACTTGAGGGCGACCTCCTGCAGACATGGAAACACAGCTCCACGGGGAGCCACCGAGGCCCTGCCCGTCTGCACACCCGGGCTCCCATCACTCGATTCTGAGTGCTGGGAGCGACGGCTGGAATGGCAGGCCCAGGGACCCTCGGTCGAGAACGTGGGGGCAGAAATGGGGGCGCACTCCATGTTCTTATAAGTGGCAGTCACATGCCCCTGGCAGCTCTGATCCCGCTGCCCGATATCTTCTGCAGACTGGTGGGAAGGGTGCCTGGGTAAATCTATGAGGTAAACGAGAGGCAAGTTCCATGGACTCGAAGGCCCCACTCTAAGGGTCCTGGGGAGGGTCCTGCCAACAACCTGCCTCTAGCCGGCACCAGTCTGTGAGGCTGGTTGACGGGCGAGAGCACTGCAGATGGGGGCCAGTGTGTGTCAAACGGCTTCTGGTCTTTACTCCATGCCCCCATCCCTTCTACCCCGCCTCCTCCCCCCCCAGTCTAGGGCTGGTGGGAGGGGGGCTGCTGCTGTCAGGGGTTTCCACGTCAGAGCAAAGCAACAGAAGCTTGTGAACCTGAGAAATGACCAAGAGACCCCACCACGCACACATCTGCGGATGCCGTGGGCTGCACGGGGAGGAAGGCAGACACGAGGCAAACTGCACCATGGTCCCTGTGCTCCCTTCTGGACAAGGACAGAGGGGCAAGTGTGCACAGCTTGTACAAACTACACATGTGTGTGTCCACAGTTTGCAACAGGCAGGCACATGGGGAGGGATGCTGAGAGTCCCCTGGCCCATTCGGCAGGCGGAGCGTCTTACCTGGGAGGAAACGAGATATCCAGTTCGTACAATCTGTCTTTGAAGACAGACAGCTCTTTGTCAAATTCTAGGAGCTAAAGGAAAAGAGACAGAGACAGGACATCACCTTGGGTTTCCTTAGACTCGAGACTCGGAGGGCTTGCTGACCTGGTGTCTGTGCTGCGGTAAGGTCAGGCCTTCGAAGCATCACCCATCTCACATGCACCCCCACTATGGGGAGCCTCTAAATCCTATCTCTGCAAAGATCTGTGGGTGCCAGAGCTCTGGGGTTCAGCTACCAGTGCTGCTAGTGAACAGTATCCATTGCAGAGACGCTGGCAGGGACCTCTGCCCCACAGCACCCTGGGGCGTTTATGGATCTGACGACATAGACGCTCAGCAGGGAACTTCTTGAGCTTGTGCCACGTCACGAGGCAACACCCTGGAGCACAAGCATGGTCCACAGCAGAGGGACCAGTCCTGGCTGGACCACATGGACTTTACAAATTATGCACGCATAGACGGTACAATGGTTGTTCACCGACAATCTAGCTTCCCCCAGAGTGTCACCCACCAGCCATGCTGACCACAGGCTTGGAAACCATGTCTCCAGGCTCAGCTGGCATCTGTCCATCATTCCCATCCACGTCGCAGCCGGGCTGAGACACAGCATCAGAGCAAGCACCCCAAACTAGACCGTGTCCTCCTCTTTCTCACCTCATAAATCATCCTCGACCAGGCACTGAGCAGGCATGTGTTAATTACAGGAGAGGCTCTGCCCGAGCACCTGCCACTGAGGCCCACACCCGCCCTGGTTCTGCATCGCCCACCGGTGCCCACTCCACATCCATGCATGACCAATGACGGGGCAGTGACCCCAAGCCGAGTGTGCACTGGTGTCCCAACAGGGGGCAGAGAGGGGAGTGGAGCTAAGGAGCCCACACCCTTGGGTGGTTTCTAGGCAGGGTACTGTGTCCAGGTGAACTCTGTGTGTCCCTTGGTGCCTCAGAACCCAGGGTCCCTGCCCCAGGAGACAGGCCCTGGATTGTGTCTGAGCCCAGAGGCAGGAACACTGCCTAGGTGCACAGGTGGGCTTCACCTGGGGCTTAACTCTGTGCATGTTTTACCCTCAAGACACAACCCTTCAGCACACCCCTCACACGGGGTGAGGTCTATCTTCCCAGGTGACCAGTTCCATTGAGTTCTTTTGGCCTTTTCTGATGTCATTTAAGACCAGCCACTCACCCAAAGACACTTCTGGATGGACTCTCAGGGGACCTGGGAGTGGGTCTGTGAGCCCCATTCTGAGTAGTCCAATCAGTGTGGCAGTTTAAGAAGGGCCATGTGCTTGGTGAACCCCTGAGCACATGGGGAATCCTAAGTGCTCACTGAAGAGTGACAAAGGGAACAGGAGAGGAGAGCGGGGTCTCCAACTGACCAGGATCCTGCTCTGGACAGTGTACACCAGCACCTCCCCACCAGAGAGCAGAGGCAGAGCAGCCAGGGACGTAAGACCCCCAAGTCCAGCCCAAGGACGTAAGACCCCCGAGTCCAGCCCAGGGACGTAAGACCCCCGAGTCCAGCCCAGGGACGTAAGACCCCCGAGTCCAGCCCAGGGACGTAAGACCCTCGAGTCCAGCCCAGGGACATAAGACCCCCGAGTCCAGCCCAGGGATGTAAGACCCCTAAGTCCAGCCCAGGGACACAAAATCCCTCGAGTCTATCCCAGGGGTTATAATAACTCATGAGTTCACCCCAGGGACTTAAGACCCACAGGTCTTGCCCAGTGACAAAGAGCCTCTAGTCAGCCCCTAGTCCTAAGAACCCAGGGGCACAGACTGTCCACTTCCACGCTGTGAGGGTCCACTGGGGGTGGGCAGCATTGACACACCTCTGCAGCCCCGTTCCACCTGCACCGTGTACCTGGTCACCAGGTGGTAAGAACACAGAAGGTTCCAGGGTGTCCTGAGCAGTTCAGAGCTCTGAGGATGCCTCCCAGGGGCCTGGAGGACAGATAATGCCAACCATGTTTGCCTGTATGTGTGTGTGTGTATACATGAGTACACATGTGCTCATATGTGAGTATGTGTGTGCCTGCGCTGTGTGCATATGTGCACACCCCTATGAGTGAATACATGGAGGAGTACATGTGCGCAAACATCCATGTGCGCATGTAGGCACCCTGGGGGCGCTATGGCTTAAAGGTCAGGCTGCTAACCACAAGGTCAGTGGTTCAAACCCACCAGCAGTTCCGTGGGAGAAAGAGGAGGCTTTCTGCTCCCATAAAGTCTTACAGCTTCAGGAGCGGGACACAGGGTGGCTGTGAGTCAGGAATGACCGCGTGGCCATGAGTGTAGTTTGTTTGGGTGACACAGGTTGGTTCATGTGCCCATACACACGTGTGCAGATGAGAGTTTGTGCATTTGTGTGCCCAGGCCCATACATACATGTGTACATGACGTGTGTATATGAGCACATATATACGAGGATGGGTTTATGTTTTGTGCCCGTACATGTGTGTACACATGTGTACAAATATGAGCTTGTGCACCCGTGCCTACATGAGTATACCATATGTGTGTGCACAGGCACACGCGTATGCGGGCATGCTTATGTCTTGCACCCATGTGTGTGTACACGTGTCTACACGAGTACACCACACATATGTGCACACGAGCATGCGTGTGTGTGTATGAGAGTCTGTACTTTGTGCCCATGTGTGCCCGGACCCATGCATGTATGTGTCTACATGAGTACTCCAGACATGTGCACATGAGCACTGGTATGTGAGGGTGTATTTGTGTCTTGTGTCCACACACGTGTGTGCCCATCTATGTTACAGGGGACTAGTTTTCTTTTACTAAACAGACTTAAAGACCAGTGGGCTTCCCCTAGGAACTTCACAGGGACCGAGCTGCCGGGCCAGGGTCTCTGGGAACCCCCAGGCCATCAATAGGGCATCATAGGGCATCTTCCTTGTGTGAGACAAAAACTGTTGCCACTACAGGGTTTGCTAGAACTTTCTCATGAACAAGCACACTGCCAATCCACTCATGAACGCTCCACATGCCTCAGAGTCCGTCACTGGAGACAAGGAAGGCTCACAGGGGATGAGTGGGGCTAGAGGACTCTTGGGGGCTGACGAGGGACAAACAGGGCTCACAGGGGGACGAGCAGGGCCCGCGCAGGTGGGTGAATGAATGTGGCTTGTGGCGGGGGGGTGGGGGTGTGTGTGGGGGGACTCACAGGAGGACAAGTAGGACTGGGAGCATGTTGGGGGGTGGACAGGGCTGGGGGGTCGGTGGGAGCTCACCAGGGGCCATCTGTGAGTCCTAGCCCAGGTCTATCTGAGGGAGCCTTGAATCCACAGCGCCCACTTGTAAACCCCAGGTGCAGGGGGATAATCATCCCGGTGGGGTACCCAGGCCTAGAGGGCTTGGGTGGTACCCAGAGCCACTGATGAGAAACTAGAGAAGTACGGTTTAAACAGGGAATGAGACGTTGGGCTGATCATTTTGTATCTCGGTGAGGTTTTTGCAAATGTGATAACCAATTCCGCATGTACCTCCGGCACTCTGCTTGATGACAGAGTAAGAAACAGGGCAGCTGTGGCTGGCGTGTACCTGTCAGGACTCCGCTGTTGCTGCAGACGCCGCGCGGGCAGAGAAAGAGCCCAGAAAATCAATGTGTCTTGGGCTGAGCAGTTGCTAAACACACAGAAAACATCTCCATCCAACTGGTCGTGCCGAGAACATTCCCGAGCCCTGCCCTGGGACAGCCGTGGAAATTTAATCTCTCCAAATCCTCACCAGGGTACTCCATCCTGAGCCCTGACAGCCACACTTATAATTAATTATACAATTTCGATGGGGATATCGACTCAACAAAGCTATAAATCATAGAAAAAGTCAATAGGCGTGGACACATTCAATCATGTCCCGACCAATGATTACTACTCTTAAAATACAATAATTATTTCCAGAAGCCAGCTCGAATTAAATTTCTGTCAGGCGGGTACAAGACTACAGTGATGAAGGTGCCATGGATTTTGGGGGTGAGCCACACAGGCACATCCGTCCTGAGGGCGGGTGTTTTGAGTGGGGGGCCGGGCATAGTGTGCATGGCCTGGCTGTGAGGTGTGCCTGTGTCTGCCAACTCACCAGACCGTTTACCATCCCTCAGGGCTGCCCCCCAGGGGCACCTGGGCACCTGTCTGCTGTGGACCACGCCCATGCAGGCCAGCTTCTTAGGGCGGCAGCATGAGGGTCAGAGAGCAGAGAGGTCATGGCCAGCTCCCGCTGGGCACACATCTGGGGGCCCTGGGCCTGTCTGTAGGTGCTCACTCACCGCGGTTCCATTGTTGTCCTGGAAAATCTCCTGGTTGAAGTAGTCAAAGAGTTTCTTCTCCAGCTGCAGCATGACCTAAGGGAGGATGAACACCAGCGGGGATCCCGTTTGAGCTCTCCAGACATCCTCGAGTCACCCACCCTGGAGGTCCTGGGGTCGAGGGTGGCTTGCTGGGTCTGCCTCTGCAAGATGAGTGACTGACACATGTGCGTGTCACTGGGAGGGTCACTGAGCCATGTCCAGTCCTTCCTGACCACAGATGAGCTTGCATGTGCAGCCACGCCCAGGACTTATGGACCAGCACACGCAGGTAGCTCCACGCCCAGGGCATGTGGACTCGCCTACCTTCCGGTCATTGTCTGATTCTCGAAAAATCAGCTTCACGACTTCATTGGTGTCAGCGGCCCGGATGGTCTGCATGGTGGCTTTTGTGCAGAGGGTCTGTGGAAAGACACAGAGAGTCAGCTCCGGCCAGAGAAGGCAGGGCCCAGGGCCACACGGGAAACACAGACAACATGTGCGGTATTGCAGGAAGACCAGTTCGGCTCTGCTCCCCGCCCAGCCTGCCCTGAGCTGAGGCTCAGCACCTCAGGGTGAAGGTGTCAGATGGAGCTCAGAGTGTTGTGCCTCCCTCCTGGCCTCACTATAGTGGAGTGGCCCTGAAACTCTGCAGAACTACAGATCTCCTTCTGAGTGAGGAGATGGCCGGCTGAATGGCGAGCCACCATACGCTCCTGAGAAAGACACCTGTCACCATACAACCTGTGAACACAGGCTAAGATGCCAGGAGTCCATGTCGCGGGCGTTCCCATGAGCACTTGATGTGCATCCCAGGAAGTAGGGGCTGAGGGAGGGTGACACACACTGCCCTGTGGCCCAACTGGGTCAGTCAGGCTTGCAGAAAGTGCCCTTTGTGTTTTTTTTTTAATTATTATTACATATTCCTGAGTCTCTCCCCACCAAAAAACCCCACAAAAACCAAAAAACCGAGGCAATGGAGGCAAATGCTGTTGACTGATGACGCACGGAGAGGAGTGTCATCATTGCAACGGAACGGTGGTGTAAAGCCCATGTCCTCCCATGTCAACTATTAATCAATTCACATGAAAACTTCAAACCAAACCAAACAAAAACAGAGGTGTCAGACTTGTACCCACAAATTGCAAAATACTATGGAAAGGAGCTCTGGTAGCGTAGTGGTTACGAATCGGGCTGCGAACCTTAAGGTCAGTGGTTCGAAACTACCAGCCGCTCCGCGGGAGAAAGATGAGGCTTTCTACTCCCGTAAGGATTTACACCCTCGGAAACCCTGTACAGGGTCGCTATGGGTCGGCTCCGACTCGAAGGCACTTAACAATGGAGAGGAATTAGACAGCAGTAAATAGGAGGCCTCCCCGTCCTAGACGGCAACATTCCCACCGTGAATCCACAGGTCCAGCATCATCACGGTGCCAATCAGCTTTTGATCTTCCTGCTGTTCTTGTTATGTGCCGTGGAACTGGTTCCAGCTCAAGCCGGCAGCAAGCACGAGAAAGTGCTCACGCCTCACACCAGTTAGTAGACGGTGCCCAAGTCAGGTGGTGACAAGGTAGGAGCACCGCAAAGACAGCATGGACAGGAAGTGTCCAGAGGAGATAAGAGACAGGAAGCAGACCTGCCCAGGACTGTAGGAACAAGGACCAACTGATTGGGGTTTGCAGGTAAATGATACCTCAATAAAACTGTGAAAAAATAAATGATTTTTATTTTTAAAAGATAATTAAAGACCACCAAAACATATAGGTTTTAAATTAACTAATTCTGCCATAAAAAATTTCTCTAATCAAGACCTGAGGCTGAGACCAAGCAGACTGTTGCTGTAGCTCCACCCCTGGCCATGTGCCCCATGGCTATGGCGTCCTCCAGCTGCCCTGGGCCTCGGTCAGCAGTGGCCGCCTGGCGCTGGGCAGCAGGCGTTCCCAGGCTGCCGGGCCACAGCCATTGGCATGCAGAGCACAGACCGATAATCAGGTCAAACCCCCAAGGTGGCTTTTGGACTCATGTGTCACAAGTCAGTCTGGTGGCCTTCAAACAGGACTGGGATTATGGCAGGCACCTAACACCGGGCTCTGTCCCAGGCCCCGGGTCAGGCTCCCATCCAGATGCTAATGTACTTAAGTGGCTTAAGCTGCTTCTCCTGAATGGGAGGCCAGCGGCAGGCAGAAGGCATTGTGCCTCCCAGGACTTGACTCAGGAAACTCCCCGTCACCACAGGCATCTGCTGGAAACTTTTTATCTTCCAACTTGAGGGCTCCAAGAGGATAAAGATCTGAGCAGCTCAGGGTACGGGAGCGAGGCCCACGTGCCGCTTCCCCCTCCCCGCCCCCAGGGGTTTTCACTAGCTCCAGGGTCCTCCTGCAGAAAGCTGGGCTAGGTTTTACCAGCTCCCCACTCTCACAAGGGATTTCTGTCTTTTGAAAGGAGAAAGAGACCCCAAGTGCTACTTTTTAAGAAGCCAGCGAACACTCATTGCATCCTTAGCGGCCCTGCAGGTCTGCGGAACATAGGCCCAAAGGGCAAGCTCACACAAAGCTGCACACACACACATCCCTCACTTCCCGGGGCTCCCAACTTCACTAAAGACACACACAGCTTCCTGAACTCCAACAGTCAATCTTAAAGAAACAGCTTAAGATTTCTGACCTGGGCAGTGGGGAGTGTTGGGAACTGGCTTCCACATGTTCTCTGTCCAAAACCTATCCTGGAGGTCAGCCCAGAATTCTGGGCTCAGCGGGTTAATGCGCTGGACTGCAAGATCAGTTTGAACCACGAGGTCGGCAGTTCAAGCTCACCAGTCACTCCTCAGAAACCTATGAAGGGTCACTGAGTCTTAACAACTATACTAACAGACACGGTGGGCTTCACTCCACTTGTTTCTGAGGTTACACAGCGTGCTCCAGGCTAGATGATGTCTTGTCTGCAGGCTGTTGTCGGCCCAGGTTCCGCTTCCACGCACACGTGTAGCTCCTTCTCACTCCTGGGAGCAGGTCTCCCGGCTCCACCCCTTGGGCCCATAGACCTGGAACTGTGAGCACACGCGCTCCCACTCAGCCGTGCCCAAGAATGGAGGAAAGGCTCACAGCGAGGACCACCAGGCTTGGCCTCCCCTCAACACCAACCTGGGAAACGGTGTCTCTGTGGTCTTGGTTAGGTGTCTTGGATCACACACCTCCCTGTGTGACCTCAGCTCGTTTCCTGTGAAATGCCCACCACGAGTCCTTCTGCATCTTAGGGTGCTCCAGATGCAAACAGTGGTGCCCATGGGTCTTGGCAGGCAAGACACTGGCTGCTTTTGATCCATAGTGACCCTATATAGAGTTTCCAAGGAGCAGCTGGTGAGCTTGAACCAACAACCTTATGGTTCAAAGAGACTTTGCAACACCAGGAGTGTTGTTGTTACGTGCCATTGAGTCGATTCTGACCCCATAGCGACCTTGTATAGGGTTTCCGAAGAGCAGTTAGTGAGCTTGAACCACCGACCTTGCAGTTCAAATGGCTTTGCAGCCTGATGAATTAACCCACAGCGCCATACCCAGGACACCAGGAATAGCGGACCCTTAAGCCAGTGACGTATGTCCTCTTAAAACAGATGCAGAGGAGACACCCAGTGGGAACAGAAGGTCATGAAGTGGCAGGGATTGCAGAGTTATGTTGCCATAAGCCACCAAACACCTGAAAGACGCCAGGAGAGATTCTTCTTAGCGCTTTCAGGAGCCCGGGCCTGTCGGTGCCACGCTGGACTTTAGCCCCTTTCCTGTGAGTTTGGGGTACTAAGCTACAACAGCCCTAGGAAAGAATGCATACCTGTGTCATGGGATGTTAAGCATGGGAGCTTTCCCAGACAGACGGCTTCCTAAGATACATGCTATTCTTACCCTTGCTGTGGTCAAAATACACTGAAGTCCCTCTTATTTTGTCCATTCCTCCTGGAGACCAATGGCCACAGAGCTGTGAGGGTCGTACCTAGGGGGCCATGGGGCACATCATCTGGACGGCTCTCGGGGACAGGGAGCGCACAGCTCAGAGGCCCGTCTCCACACTGGCTGACTCCAGTTGAACCTCAGCCTCATCAGGAGTTCCTGGGCTGTTGAACTCTCAGGACACCCTCCAGGGTCATGGAAGACTGCCTTTTTCCTCAGAGCCAGTCTCCTCCCCACAAGGAGAAAGTTTCAATAGTCAAGCAAAGTCCAAAGGAACCACAAAACCGACCTAGCCTAGCATATTCTAATAAAAATAAACCGTCGCCAAGAAATGAGACTTTTCTCCTCACGTGGAAGGTCCTGAGATAACACCACAAGGCCCAGGTCAGCTGTTACCCCAGGAACGTAGGCCTGTCCGCTGGGTGAGCTACCGGGTGAGTGGGTGGAGGGCCCCAGGTGCTCCTGCAGACCTGTCCAATTGGTGGATGGGTGCCAGAATGAAAGAAGAATGAGTGAATGAGCGCCCGCTGGATGAAGCCCAGTCCCCCTCAGTGCTGTGGGCTGCAGCTGGTGGGTGGGCTTGAGATACATTCCACCAATTTTTCATGCCCATCCCTCTAAATGTGACCCTGCTCCTGAGCCTTTATCCCACTGACAGCCTGGCGCAGAAAACATGCAGCCTCTGATAGCATGAAATTGGAAACAAAGGCCGAGGCACAAAGGGACCGCGGGGCCGCCAAAGGCGTTGCCAGCGCATGGATGTGAGTGGCCGGCTCCTGAGCTCACCAAGAGCGGAGCTGGTAATGACATCCCCACAGCTTCCTATGTGTGTGTGTGTGTGTGTTGGGGGGGGGCTGTAGGGACAAGTCCCAGCAGGTGCCCTCCCCCAGCATGTGCTCAGCCCATCCTGGATGCCAGGGAACACACTATGCAAGTCACAACTGTCTGTGCCCTTCCTGACCCAGAGACAACCTCAGCCTGAAGTAACTGCTACCCCCGCCCCCCAGGTCATGTCAAGCTAGCGCTGTTCACGGGATCGCTGTGGGACCCCACTCAGGCAGAGCCAGCTAGTGCTGATATGGAGACCCCTCAGTCCTACAGGACATGGACGGAGGGGTGGGCATGGAGGGATGCTGGTGGACTCCTGGTCACCAAGGTGTCCCTGCACTGACCACACCTAGTGTATGCTCAGGCTGTCCTCAGGAAGAACAGAATGGCCTCACTCCCAGTGGCTCCCAACCACACTCCCCCCTCAGATGGACCACTGTGGAGAGGTCAGTGAGACCAGCTACTGAGTTCAAGGAAGACACTGCCAAAAACAGCCCAGCCTCCACTCTGCGGCCCCATGCTGCCAGGATGGGGTGTCATGTCCCCTCAGACAAGGACACCCGACTCTCAGTCCAGAAGGTCCAGTACCTCAGCAGTTGGTCTTAGCTGTGTGGCGCAGAAGACACTCCCCTGAAGTCCAGAGGAACAGAGCTCACACTATCAACCCTTATAGTGGTATGACTGGGGTGCCCCTTCTCTGGGGAAGCAGCATGGATCCTCTCAAGTGGACTTTGTGCTGACCACAGGTCTGCTGGCAGGGAGCACTGCCCCCTTCTCTTCATGGTCCTGTTGTGGTTGTCGATTCCGACCCACAGCGACCCTGTATAGGGTTTCCAAGAAGTGACCGGTGAGTCTGAACCACCAACCTTGCGTTTCAAACAACTTTCAGTCTGGCGCATTAACCCACAGCGCCACACCAGGATTCTCGTCACAGAAAATTTACCAAGGGCTACAGACAAAAACCCCAGACAACATTCTCACGAAGGCTTGATGGATGAGAGCGTAAGAACAGGTTCATAAAAGTGGTTAACAAAGCAGATGTGGGCACTTTATACAGGTTTTCCTTAATACAGTTAATGAAAAATCATTACCTCTTAAATTTAAATGGATCAAATGCTCCTGGAGAATGAACACGATCGTCTTCCCCCAGATATGTTGAGCAGTAATACACACGTGTGTCCCAGGACAGAGTGCACCTTTAAATCAACATCCTGATTACACTTCCCGGCTGGCAGGCTTTCCTGGAGGTCAGAGAAGCTCCCCAAACTGCAACCCTATCAGCTGTTCACCAGTCACAGGCAGGCCGGTGGACCCACGCAGAGACCTGGACTCGGGGGCAGATGGGACAGTCTGTTGCCGCAAAGATTTACAGCCTCAGAAACCCTATACAGGGCCATTATGACTTGGGACCGACTGGACCGGCACTTAACAAAAACACAGACCTGGGACAGACACACATCCTACCTCCTGTCGGGCTCCCACAGTACCTGCCTTCGCCTGGCACATGTGTGGGTGAGAGGCTGAGGGGCTGCGGAGTGTGGGTGCGTCCAGGTACCTGGCGCCTGGGGCCTGGGGTGGGGGCGGGTGGCTGTGAAGCACACAGCAGAGGCTCCTGCGGGTCTGTCAGGAGGCCCCTCCCCAGGACAATTGGGGTGGGCAGGGTCTCCTCACAGGCAGGGCCAATCAGAAAGGTGCTCCTTCTGTCTGGGCAGTCCAGGACCCTCCAGGGTCACTCAAGGGGACGCTCCTCCGAGGGAGCTCTCTCCAGGCCAGGTGGTACAGGGACGTGTCTCTGTCAGTGACAGACAGCTGGTACTTGAAGAGCAGTCGCTGCTCCCCAGAACACATCCATCTCTGTCATGGCCAGGAGTGATGGACGCAGGTGTGGCACTGCTGTTGCTGTCACCGAGGCACTGAGCCCAGCTGCCAGAGCTGCCAGACAGCACCTACACCGATGAGAGCAGCCACTCAGGCTGTCTCTGGAGGGACCTGCACCCGGTGGCTGTGTGTAACCCGTGTGTGTTCAACTATGGCATCACCGGTGCCAAGTGTGCGCTCCGTTCCGCTGGGCGAGCACGCCTGCAGCTTGGAGGGGCAGTGGTCGACTGGGGCCCCAGTTGCCCCCCGCAAAGCATGGTCCCCATCGCTCCCACCCCTAGGAGCATTTCTAAACATGCGTGAGGCACCCAAGCATCTCTGGGAATCAGACAGTAGCAGGCGGGACCAGGCTCTCCTAGAAGCTGCCAGCCAATCCTGGAGCTCGTCCTCAGGAGGTTCCCTGAATTTACTGTTGCCATGAGGACTGGCTCATGGGCACTCGAGTCGGGAAGTGGATTTAATTAACCTATCATGAATCTTCCATGTGGACCTGTGAGCAGTGAGGAGTGGGGTCAGTGCAGCCCCACCCCTCACGACGGGCACAGCAATTGGGGTCCCCATGAAAACACAATGTCACAGTCACGGACAGAAACTGGAGGGATCCACTAGGCCCCCAGTGGGCCGCAGCCACAGTGAACCCAGAAGACCAGGAGAGGACCTGGAATTCAGCGGTCTAGGAGGGGCCGCAATGAGTGTCCAACCTCAATGGCCACTCATATGATAAGAAACCCTTTAAAAAGTTGTGCCAGGCCACACTAACTGGCAGGTTTGGATAACCCAGAGGGGCTTGTGTGGGTCCTTAACTTTGACAACCTCTGAGAAACCCAGACCTTCCCGTGGGAGCCACTGGGGTTGTGTCAGCACCCATCTGTCAGGTGCATGTAAGGACTGGGGGTCCGTGGGTAAACTCTGCCATTGCCGGTGTAGCTACAGCTCCCAGGATCCAATGACAAATGTCTTTATGAGGAACAACGGAGAAGATGCAGGGCAGAGGCAAGAGGGATGGTGCAGTCACACGCTGGGGGTACCTGGAGCCACCTGCCCCCCCCCCCGCAGCTTCCTGCCATCGTGCGACCTGTGGTCTGAAGGCCTCAGACTGTGGTCCTTTGTCATGACCAAGATAGTCAGACACACTGCGTCATCAAACGCTGAAGGAAAGACTGTGTCGTAGTTGTAGTTGATAGGAGGGACGGAGCCTCCACGGAGCAGCCAGGGGCCTGAAGGAGTGGGGGGCATGCCACCGTCTTCATGGCCAGGTAGAAGGGATGCTGTTTGAGAAAATGTGCTGAGCACACCACAGGGGTCACATGCAGGGATCCAACTCTGGAAAGAGCTGGAAGGCCTGTCCCCAGTCTCTGAGCAGGAGTCCCGTCGCCTGGTGTCACCCATGGTGGACTTGATGGTGTCATGGTCCAGAGCTGGATGGGTGTGGATCTGCCATGAAGGGCCACACCGTGTGTTGGTCAGCAGTCTTGTTTTACTCACACAGCAAACTGTGTGTGGCATACAAATGGAGTCCCGTGGCCGCATGTGGATGTTGTGCACTTGGGTGTGTGGAGCCTGGGCACAGCCACGTACCCAGTGAGCAAACAACTCATTAAACACCACTGCCTTGCTTCCCTTCGCTGCTCTGAAAGCAGTACCAATGGGGAGGGGGAGAGGGCCTCCACCCGAGGTGCCTATTGGGCACAGCAACTTCATCAGCATCACTGAGAGGGGGCTCAGCATGGCTGGGTGTCGGCTGAGACCCTCACTGCAGTCAGGAGGGTGTCCGGTGGGTGGGCTATTCTCACACATACAGCCAGCGTGCGGGCCTCTGTGGGTATGAATAAGACGCCTCATCAGGACCCGGCGTGCTGCTGGCAGTATGGACCAGGAGAAGCCGCCACCACGGAGACTGCTGGCTTGGAAACAGCACTGAAATCAATGGGGCTTTCTAGAAGGTTCCACGAGCCACTGTGCCCAGCCAGCCTCTAGCCCTGGCACTGCCTTCCGCACCTCAGGAACGCCTTATTGATCCCCCAATTCCTCCAACAACACTAACACAGTTTCCTAGCACAACAATCAATGAAACGCTAGCTTAAGACGCACATAAAAATGCTTACTCTACAGCAGACCGATAATTTATTATTGTTAACTGACCTCCTTGGGGAAGGGAGCACGTACCTGCATAATGTTTATTATTATTTTTATTAGCAATTAAAGTCCTTGTATTGCCACCTGACTACCAGGGTCCACCAGAGAGCAAGGGTGCCAGGCTCCATCCCACTAAGCTTCCTGCCACACACAGCTCTGGCTTGTGGTCACGGGCCCCTGGAAAGCTGCAAGGGATGAAGGCCCAAGTGGACGGGCCCAGCGCAGAGGGCAGGAAGGCGCGGAGACAAAGAGAAGGGTCAGGCCCCTTGATGAGGCAGCATCTCGAATAACCCCGTGTGTGTGCCCCTATCAGCCACTCAGACGGGGAGGAGACGGAGTCCACACCTGCCCTCCGGCCAGGGAGGCTCCCTTGAGACCTCTGTTGACTCTCAGGAAACACTGCTCTTCTTGGGTGAACACATTGCAATTCACAAAGGAACACTCACCTAAACACAATCTCACTAACTTCATTTATTCCTCTTCAGTCTGGTTTCAAAGCTGACCCTGCAGTCAGCTGTGGAGAAAGAGGTCACTATGTGACCTCTCAAGGACTGACTCCACCTTGCCCTCACCTGCTGGCTCTGCCTCCAGCAGGGTCTGGGGCAAACAAGAGCCATGAAGTTCTTCCAGAAGCCGGCCAATGCTCCCGAGGCAGGCTTTGTGATGTTGGGAGGGAGCAGCGAGTTCTGAAGCATCTCTGGACTTCTCCAGATGTACAATTTGGGGCAGCAGATGCAGTCTTCATGTGCGTCACTGTTCTGGGCAGCGAGGCCCCCTCAGTGACAGGCCAACAATGGAGGGTGTTCTGTTCAGTTTCCCACTCACTCTCCAGGGGTCTGGCCTGAAGGATGCAGCTGGCGAGGGACTTCCACCAGGACAGGTCAACCCTGATGGGCACCATGATGAGGTTTTGACTTGAACCCTAATGTCTGACTATTAGCTCTGCTGCCTCAAAACAAGGGGAGAAGCTAGCAGAGCAGTAACTAACAGCAAGTATGAGCAAGAGGGGACCCAGCTGCCCATGGAAATGCACAAACCCACGTCAGCTCAGACAGAGAGCCAGCACTCATCCTCAGGATGGAGCCATCCCAGCAGCCGTACAACAGCACATGATGGGCAATGGCTGGGTCCTGGTGACTGCTGCTCCGATAGCTGTCTGCTCTGGGGTGGTGCCACAGGCTGTGACAGGCCTTGGTGTCCTGGGCCCTGCCCTGATTGAAGAACCCACACACCACAAGGTGAGGGGTCCAATGCTCGGCAAACAGCTGTGTTATGTGGCAGGCTCCGGCTTGGCACCCTCTCAGACAGCAAAGCAGAACACTTTCCCTCACTAGGAGTTTCCATCTTAAAATACAATCGGCAAAAGCAGTGGCGGTGAGCCACGTGTGAAGGGTAATATCCTTCCGTTTTTATTCTTCATAAAATCAAACGCAGAGACCAGACAGCGCCTACCTCGACCACGGACTTGGAATCCAGTCGGAAGTTGAAGTCACCAAAGACAAAGTAGGAAACTTTCTCGAATCGCTGGTCAAGGATCCTGGGAAGGAAGAGCACATTGGATTAGCAGACCCACTCATCCTAACATGCCCGGCATACCTGATGATGGGAGACCCCAGGTTTGCATCTCCTGTGGGTGCAGGTGGCTGAGGCTTCCCAGCAGGGGCCCTGGCTGTGTCCCGGTACCATCCTTTCTGGGGCTCAGCATCAGGGTTGTGGGGAGGGGAATGTGACAGCCACCCCCAGGACCTGCTGTTTCTCACTCATCCGTGGAGCCATGGAAAAGATGACAAACGGAAGGTCTGATCTTTATGTGGTTCTGTGTGCTCCGCAGTGGGCAATGCAGCCACACCGGTAAGACTGGGAGAAAAACATCCCAGAGGCCTCCCATCAGCCCCCGGTCTGTGGCAGAGGAGGGGCTGTGGGTTGCTGTCCTGCTCCGAGTGAGGGCGTGCACTCCCAGGCCAACAGTGGAGAGCTGTTCTGGTCATCACGGCTGACCCCACCACGCTCAAGCACACTGCAGCAGAATGCCTGTGACCGCCAGCCTGGGGGACCCTTGGGCTCCGGGGGCTTCTCTGTCTGTGCTTGATGAAGCACTCTTGTTGGCCAGCTGCTGTCTTCTCACCTTGTTGATGGCATCTTCTGCCACACAGAAATTTTCGTCGTCACGTCATCTAATCCATCCCAAACTCAGACAAGGAGTTCGTCCCCATTCTCCTCTCTGCCCGCCCCCGTTTCCAGACTTTTAATCCACATGGAGTTGCGGTGTGAAGTGGGATCCACATTATTAAATGTCTGGTTCCTTCTCCGGAGCTCACGTCCTAACACCACCTGAGATGCAAGCTCTGTGAGATGTCTACTGGGCTTTTTCCCACTGCTCTTTCTCCCTGCTCCTGTGAGCGCCCCGCTTTTAATCAACACAGCTTGCTACAGAGATTCTTGGTGACAACCCTTTTTAATAGCCAGTGGTCTCAGCAAATTTCATATTCTGCTGGCAGATTAATTTCCTTGCTGAATTTCATGGGGGAAAAAAGTTTTTCATTATAAATAGAATTGCTTTCCATTCATGTGTTAATTTGGAGAGAAAAGACACATCTTAATGCAGTTATGAACAGAGCAGACAGCTGTAATTTCATTCACATAAGACTGGCTTTCTACACAGAAACTGCCACTGGGGCTGAGGTGTTCCACCAGGGGAGTTGTCCCTCCCGCTGGGCTCCTCAAAGTCCAACAGAGCCCCAGTGGGGTGGGCTGTGCTGTGGGTCATTACAGCCTGTGGGCAGGGAAATTGCAGCTGTCTGAGAGTGACTTTCTTCTGTTGCTAAACCCTAGAAGCTGCAGTGGGCTCTGGGTGGTCACAGTCGGTCAGCCTGCAGAGACCAGGTGTGAAGTGAGCAGACGACCATGATGCCGTCTCCACGGCCAGAGAGCCAATAGGAGCTGCTCTTCCGGAGCCCCCTGGACTCATCAGGGTGTGAGGAAAAATATCATCAGAACAGCGCTCAGTGTTGGCCAGCCTCTGGCTCACACCCATGCTGATCCCGCATACCATTTCTGTCCCAGCCAAGGCTACAGTGTAGCCAACCTGAGAGCATAGTGCCCAGTGTGTAGGGGAGAGAAACTCCCAGCATGGCTGTGGTCAATGAGGCCCCGGGCTACATGTATGGCAGGAGGGAGGGACAGGACTGTGACAGAGGTCACAGGCCTGTCCTGTAAGGTGACAGCCATGAGCTGACGGGGAAGAGTCTCCATGAGGTTCTACAGCTCGGATGGAGCGGCTTGGATGGAGCGGAGGGAGTTGTGTGTGGCTGCCCCTGACAGGATCGTACCTCCTCTAGCTTCGGACAGAAAGACAAGGAGGAACTACAAAGAACTGAGCAGAGGACACCCTAAGTAGTAACTAAGAATCAAATCACTATTTGGCTACATAAACACTAGAAGCCATTTTGATGTCAATTCCTTGCTTTGTAACGCTACTAACGATCAGATGTAACATTGCACTAAATAAATTTTAAAGTGTTTAGGATACTTTAACAAGAAAGAAAACAATACATTGGAAGCTGTCTTTGGAAACCCGGGTGCCTCCATGTACCCAGCCCAGCATCTGATGGCTGCCTACCTACAGGATGCCCACCGGCACTGTCCTGGCAAAGGTGAGTCACACCAGAGCCGGCGACATCCTCGTCTGACAATGGCCACTGCCACGTCTGAAATCTCATACTACCGTCATTAAAAACCCAACTTTATCATACCTACGTGCTCTGCTCTCGTTGATGTAATCGCCCAAGACAATTAATCCCTGTGACGTGTGAGGGCCGCACCGTGAGCAGAGATGAAGGGGCTGTCAGAGGCGGTGGCAGTCACCAGAGTGCGTGCCTCCCGGGTCGGCCCAGGTTGCATTTTAATTCTGACATAGTGCTACTCAGACCAAAAAAACAAAGACAGCTGCTCCAAAATGAATGACCTTGTCAGCAGCTATTAGGATTCAAAAGTCACACCACCCCAGTATCATGTGCCTTATTCAAACAAGAATTACAAGAGGAGCCACAGAAACACACGTTTAGGCCTGGAGGCGGAGACCCCACTATAATGTGTGCTCATCTCCAGGAGCATACCTGAGGGGAGACCCCCCACCACTGACAGAGGCGGCCGGAGTGGCAACACCCAGCATGGACAGACACATGCCTAGTTCCCGAGTCTGGGAACTGAAGTCCAGGGGGACATAGTTAGCATCACCCTAACATTCAGAACCAAACACCCTAGCATTCAGAAACAATATGGGTTCACACAATAGGAGCCGGTTTTGAAAGCACACGTGACTGGGAGCTCCAACATGAACGTGTTTCTTCCTCTTTTTTTTCCTTAAACACTAGGTGTAATGCTAAATGCTGGGCACTTAGCAAGGTCTGAGCCTTAGCGGCATCAGTGCCAACACAGAATGCCCGCGGTATCCCTGCATGGCTTGGCTGGACTTCAATGCTCGCTATGCCAAGGGCCCTCAAAGATTAGCCCTGGCCCCTGCAGCTGCCCGAACTGCCCTGTGCTTCTTCCTCATTGCCCAGTGTTAGGACTTCCAGCCCACACATGTCCTATGACCCCTTGCCCAGGACGTCAGCAAACTGGCCACTGTCCTTGATCTCTCTGCCAGCGGAGAAGTGCCAGAGTTGCAGCAGCCACAGAACAAAGAGCCAGAGCCCAAGACAAAGCAGTGAACATCCCAGACCATCGTGACTTGCTCATAGAGTGGGGAGCTAGTGTGCTGACCCGTGGAGCTAGAGCCGAGGCTTACGGTGGAGTGGTGTATCTGGTGAGCATTTATCAGCAGCTGACTGAACAACTATGACCTGAGCATCTTCTGATCCCGTATTTATAACCTGTTCATTCCCCTCCCAAACCCCTTTACTGTGTATACTGCCTGAGTTCCGTGTGGACCTGTGTTGGCTTCTGGAATCCGACTGAGGCGCAGAGAGGGTTGGGGGAGGAATGGTCAGTGCTTCATACTGTTGCAGTCTGGCTGACTTCTCCTTGACCCCCTGAGACACAGGCTGTGTTACTGAGCCCCCCGTGCTGAGCCATGGACTGCCCCGATAGCAGCCATGAGGCATGAGCCAGTGGCTCCCTCTTATGGGGTGGTCTGGAGAAGGTGACTCTGGGAAGTGAATATGGGGAGTCTTGCCTGGTCAGGAGCTAATTACAAAACCCGGCCTCCGCAGTCTTCAGTCCTGTGGCCCATCTCTCTGAAAGGCCCCTCCTGCCTTAGAGGCTGACTGGGTGACCACTGTGGGAACAGACCGTCAGTGGCCAGCTCTGGGCCGTAACAGTGACCACTGTAAGAGCAGGCTGTTGGGTGGTCCTGGAACAGCTCTGTGAACACTAAGAGAAGCTGATCATGAAACTCCAAGGCACCGGCAGGTGGTCCTGGCTTTGACACCTGTGGCCTAGGCCTTGGTGCAAGAGGTAGTCACAAGCCACCACAGTAGCTTCCGGGATGGTGGCCGCTGGACACAGACACCAGTTACCACTCAGGCGTTTCTCTCATCCCTGAGGTACCCTTGCCCGTCTTTTTAAAGCCCAGCATCTTCTGATAAATATTGCCCCACAGGGTAAGCACTGGGCTAGTAATCACAAGATCAGCAGTTCAAACCCAGCAGCCACTCTCGGAAACCCTATACAGAGTTATTGTGCGTCAGAAATGATTCAACAACACTTACCCCCCCCCCCCATTCAGAACCGCTGAGGAAGCTGGGGGAGAACTCTGTGCAGAGCTCTGGGGTGGCCCCTGAAATGTCCCTGAGGAGGCCATATGTGCCCCTTAGGTGTGCCCTGGGGTATTCCTGAGAAGCCCCAAGGTGTCTGCTGAGATGTCTGTCCCCTGAGGTGGCCCTGCTGCCATGGCTTTATGTTTTCCTCCCAGCAGGTGTTTATTGTCTTTGAAACACAACGTTGTAACACTAAGCACGTCTGTGCAGCCAGGAATCTGCTCACTCCTAGACCACAGCCTGCCGGCCACAAAGGAGGGCGTCCACCATGGCTGCTTCCTTGTCCCTGTGTCTGGTGGAAAGGAACGAGGGTCTGTGAGACCTCAGAGCTGAATGCATACATGACCAGGTGCTCAGCTCACCAGGGAGAGGATCTGTAAAGGGCAAGAGCTGGCATCCCCTGCCCGGGCTGCCCACGCCACGGGTTTCATTGCCCCCTGCACAGAAGTGTCTTGTGGCATCGTCCTGGCAGTGCTGGAATCATCCCAAACAAATGCCCTTAGAATCTGCACAGTGGGACCCACGCAGCACTGACAAAGAGACACGTGTGGACCAAGGCATGCAAGACCCTGTCTGTGTGACACTCACATGCACATAGTAAACATACAGGCACCTGCAGGTGGGTCCAGGAGTGACAGACGGGGAGCCTGTCTGAGGTGCTGGGGTGGACTCCGGAGAACACAGGGGTGGGAGTGGGGGATGTGTGACATTTATCCTATCCAAATGTTTTATTTCTTAACAAAAGGTGCAGCAAACCTGCAGACGTAAATGTGACAAGCGGAGGGCGGCATGTCTCATCACCACAGCCCCTGGGCTTTTCTGTATGCTTGATCTAGTTTCCAATAAAACAAAATGCAGGTCTGCTACAGATTTCAGCAGTCTTCTGAGATGTAGGAATAATACAGCTACTGTGCCAGGTCTGCGCTGGGCTTCGTGAGCACACAGGAGCCTCTGCGGTTTCTTGCTAAAGGAACAAAGATGGCCGGCTGGGCTGGCTTTTCTACCGGCTCCAGTTGGAACCTTTGTGCATCCAGATCCCAGGCTGTGTGGCTATGGAAGTGTTTGCCACAATCGACGCTCTGGTGGTGGCTGTCCGAGTGGCTCGGGAGCAAAAAGAGGCCAGAGGGACATTCCGGGGCCGGAGCTGCCTGGGAGCCCTGGGTGACAGGGATCGTTGGTGCACAGTTTGCTTTGCCTAGAGACGCCGGGGCCTTTCTTTTGCTCACAGAAGGGCGGGCGAGTTCTGAGAACAACCGGGAGAGAGCCATTTGGAGGGGGGTCTTTGAGCAGGCTGACAGCTGACTGATGACCAGTCGTGGGCTGACAAAGCATGGCTGTGTGGCGCCCGCGCATCACGTCGCCGCTCCCTGGGAAACTAATTACTCTGAATTGTGTGCGGTAACATTATTTTTCTGCCGATCACTTCTTTTGAATGCCCAAAATGAGCATGAAACAACTCTTTTGACCGGACATAAAAGTTAAATGTCCCAATGTTGATCAAATTAACTTGAGCAACGTGACAATGGACTATATTTGTGAGAGGATAATGGAGAGACAAAGGCATGCTTTCTGCAGATTTCATAGTTGTAATGTAAAGGTGTCCTGCTGAATGAGGCCATGTTTCAAAGGGAAACAGAGACCAAGTCAGTGTGGAAAAAAAAACCCACTTCACAGCCCGAGAGAGAGCAGGAGTTCAGGAAGTGTCAGCAGCGGGTACGAGACGATGAAGGCTTGAAGGCCTTGTGCTCCGCGCTGGCTTAGTGTCCTTGAGAGAGCTCAGCCTCCCACCCAGGTGACACTACTTCACCTGCCCTGTCCAGCCCTTCATCTCTGGGTCCCAGAGCCTCAGGGAGGTTCGTCTGTGTGTGTGTGCTGGCGGAGGTGGGAAGTGTCTGCACTGTAATAGAATTGTCTTCCTTTTTATAGCCTTTTATAACAAAAGAGTCAAAACAAAAAATCCATAACTGCTCCAAGATCATTATGACGAACAACATTCAGATGAGACACTGGCTGCACTTCATAGATGTTGTCACATGGGTAAGCATTTCTCAACCAAGGAAGTGAGCTCGCATTGGAGTGTGAGGCTCCCAGGGGGTGCTGGGTGTGAGGGTGGCCCTGAGATGTGGGTGTCAGGATTCCATGGGCACCGGGGGCCCCGTGGTACATGCAGCTCCCACTCCTCTGGGCACTGCCCCGACCGCAGTGTTGGAGGAATGAAATGCTTCCGAAGAGTTGACAGACTGGACACAGAGCCTCTCAGGAAGCAGGAAGTGGCGGCTCGGTCTACTCCTCTGCTCCTGGGGACCACTCTCGGCAGGCCCTTGGCTTCTGTGCTCACAGAGGAATGGGGGCTGTGGGCTCTGCAACGGGAGATTAAGCCCACTCCCTACCCAAGTCTCAGCAAGTGCACAGACAATGCTCCGACGGTTCCCAACGCCTGAATGGGGCTCTGTTGGTGGTAGTCCTTCGTCAAAGGGCAGTGAGGCTTTGTCCCCCAGCGGCACGGCAGAATGGAGTCTGCTGGTGGCCGCCAAAGGTTAGCAGCCGATGAAAGGGCGTCCCACTATTCACCGCTCCTACAGAATGCCCCTTTGTGGTGGTCCGTGCTGCACGGCGGAGGTCCGGAGCCTCGGCTGGCTGCGCTCACACCCGAGTGGCCCATGGGAACCAAATCCTCAGACAGCCCCACCCAGAGGGCTCCTGGAGTCACAGTGACTCCCCACACAGTTACCAAGGCCCAGGGCAGGGCAGGCCCCTCATCCTGGACCATGGGAGGTCTCGGCATAGAGAGGCTCAGGACCCACAGCCCCGCAGACTCCACACAGCAGGGCACCATGGGGGAGGGGGAGAGGGGACAGACACCACCTGAAGGAGCTGACCACACCTAGCTGATGGTGGGCATGTCAGGAAAAGAACATGTATACATATCTGCATACACACCTACAACGCACCCAGGTGACTACACCTACACACGTGCACACACACCTACAACACACCCAGGTGAATACACCTGCACACAGCACAAGTACACACACCTGCACACACACCTACAACACACCCAGGTGAATA